GCTAGGGACTCTGTATTAGCTTTGGATCTGAACACCTTGAACAATTTGAATTAGAAACTCACTTCACATAAATCTGCTGGCATGATACAGGTGGGCCCTGAGACTGGTCCTGAGGCTACTCCAGCCTGTATCCTCCTCTGCCAAGTAGGACTCCACCAAGACACAGCATCACCGCCTTGCGAGCCTGCCATGGGCTCGGCTGCGACAGAGCCAACCAAGTTGAGTCCAAACTCAAGAGCCTCCCAAACAGCCGACCTTCTCATCTCCACCACTCAGACACAGCCCTGGGGGTAGGAGGCCACCCACCTGGTCCAATTTGCATGAATCCACTTGCTTTTGCTCCAACTACACCCCCTCTTTTAATGGGATTATAACAAAAGACAACAGTCTTCATGCTTATGCAGAAAACATGCTTGGATGTTCCTGTACAACTAATAAACCATATGTCCAAGCCTACTCTCTTAGCTTGTTTTCTGCTTCTATCACATGGTACCACAGATTGGGTAATTTATGAACAATTGAAGTTTATTTGGCTCACAGTTCTAGAGTCCAAGAGCATGGCGCTGGCAGCTGATCAGGGGCAGCCATGGTGGCAGGTGAGAGGTGATTCGAAAGCATGAGACAGACAGAGGCACCAGAGGCCTGACTCACTTTATAACAACCCACTCTTGCAGGGACTAACCTGCTCACATGACAACATTAATCTATTCATGGGGGCAGAGCCCTCACCACCCAGTCACCCCTTATTGGGCCCCAGCTGCCCATACTGTTGCACTGGGGATTGAACTTTCAGCACATGACTTTTAGGGGGACACAGGCCAACCGCAGCACCCACGTCCTGAGTAAACAGGTGATGACAGATGTAAAAAGAGTGAGGCTCTAGAACTTCCAGTGGCAATAACCCCAGGCCTCTATACTTTCATTCATACCACTCAGACTTATAGGCAGCTACTGTATCTCTCAAACTCTCCATAGAAAGAGATTCCTTAGTCAACCTCAAGCCCTTTGTTGGAGAATTTCTCCTTTATATCAAGTTTATAGCTCCTGCTGCCGTGGGAAACATTCTTTGTACTGGGAAACACATACCCCTTGTATAAGAAGGGGGACATTGGGAGACAGCCTGCTGTCCCTAAAAGAGCCTATTAATAATCACTTCTGGGCCAAACCAGCTTATGCTCACCCCTGGGTTTGCTCGGCCATGGCCATGAGGGTTTCCTCTCAATGTCACCAATGACCCTCCAGGAAGAGGGCCTGGCACCAACTGCATTCCGGTGATCCCCTAAGGGAAGTTCCAGTCTTCACTGGAGGGAGGCTTGGCAGGTTCCCTCACTGTCCTGGTGGCCAGCCCTGTCGTCATGGCTTCCACCTGCTGGGCTGACCTGGCCCACTGTGTCTGCTCTGGTTGGCCCTTCGTGCTGCGTCACCTCACCCGGTGCACTGTGTGACTCCAGCCCCGAGGCTTCTGCAGGCTGCTGAGATGCGAGAATATGCGGGACGCCTTGGTAAGCAGGCCTGCGCTGGCTTGGGCAGGGGCAGGCAAGGCTGCACAGAGGGAGGAAGTTGGGTCTCACACCCACTGGCTGGATCAGCACACGGGATATGCCCTGGACTTCGAGTGCTGTCACTGCTGCCCTGGGATCTAATATCTCTGAAGGCAGCCAGAGGGTCCTGGTGCACAACCTAGAAGTGTGGTGGAGTGATGTCCTGTGGTGTGAGAGATGGGACTCACAGGTGCGTGTTTCCCCCTCCTGCAGTGGACAGCAGTTTCACAAGGCTCGTGCAGATAGACAATCAGCTGTGCCTAACACAAAGCTATGGCCAGCACGCTGACACACTCCCCTGTATGCATATGATCCCCCCTTGCCTGCCACATCCCCCTTTCCCCTCACTTCTGCGGCCTTGGCCTTGGAATTGCACTCCTGACTTAGCAGGTAAGCTTTTGCCTTGAGCTCTGCTCTCTAGGGAGCCTGGCCTAAGACAGCTCTTATACTTCCCGTATGCCAAGTACTCTGTGTGTGTGTATGTGTGTGTGTGTATGTGTTATTTTAAGTCTTTACAAAAAAAATCTTTGCAGATGAGCACAGGAGCCTTGGGGGAAGGAATGAAAAGGATAAGACAACTTGCTCAAGAACACACAGCTAGTAAGCGGATGAATTGAAACTGTAGCTTAGGTCTGTCTAACATCAAGAGTTGTGCCCTCTCAGATCATGAGCACTGAAGTCAGACAGACCCGGGCTTAAATGCTGGCTTTGAACTCACTAGCTGTGTGATCTTTGTCAGGTTACTTAACCTCCCTGAGCCTCCATTTCCTCGTCTGTATAAGGGACAGATTTAGATGCGATGACCTCTAAGGTCTCTTCCAGCTGGGACAGTCAACAGTCCCAAGAGTCTCACAGGGGATCCTCTGCTGTTACAGCCTCTGAAATGTTCCCGTGCAGCTTGGGAAAGGGTCGCAGGGGACGGATCCAGGCCTCAGGGCTACTTTAATCCTAGGGGACCATCTTGGCAGTCATAACAAAGCTTTAAACCTGGGGAAGGTGGGGTCTCGGCGTCACCCTCTCCTGCCCAGGGCCAACCCCAGCGGCATTCAGACAGCTTCCCTGAAAAGCTCTTCCTTTTTCTTTGCCCAGGTAACTCCCACCCATTCTTCAGAAGTCAGCTCAAATATCTGTTCCCCAGGGAAGCTTCCTGCCCCCACCCCTGCACCTCCGGGCTGGCCCCACTCTCCTCTAGATGTGCTCTTACAGCCCTTGCACGCCGCCTGCCCTGCACGTACCGCAGCACGGGATCACAGATTACCGCCATCATCCACTGGGCTCTGTCTTGTTCGCTTGTCTGGAGGAGCCATGAGGGCAGTGTCCACGTTTACTTTGTCCCCCGTTATATTTCCAACGTCTAAAACAGCGGAAGGTGTTCGATACATATTTATTGAATTCAAGGGCTAATTAACTAGTTAATGTCAAGTAGCCAAGTCCTGATGAGACCAAAGCAGTAGTGTTTCTGCTTGAAAGACGATCTGGGGTGAATTTTAAGATCCCCGTCTGATTGCCCAAGTCACTCAGTATGTGGCTGCATGTCCTTGAGTCCCAGACTCCTCTCCCTCTCCTGCCAGTCCGTGTCACAGCTCATTAGGGGGCTAACAAGGAGATGGCTGTGCACTGACACTGCCATCCCTGAAGTCACCCCACCAGTCATCAAGCAGCGCAAGGGGGCTGAAGAAATGGGCTCAAGGTGAATGAGGACGTCCGCAAGAAGGGAAGGAAGGAGCCTGGCGGTTCAGCTTTCTATGGCCTAACTACCGAGCGACCGTCACCATGGAATCCACGTAACAGTGTTGCAGGAGAGGGTCTGGAAGATTGGGTAGAGAAAAGCAGCAAATCCTTTTCTGCTTCAGCATGTGCACCACCAGCAGGATGGGCTCAATCTCAAAGACCACGGAGGGCTCCCTGCTGAAGCCTTCACCCTGCCATCCCCACCCCATGTCAGTCCTCTGGGGCCCCCTGGGCCTTCTGTGGCTTCTGTCGACTTGCCAGCCTTCTGCGTGCAAGCCTCTGTCTGAGAGCAGCAAGGCCTCCCTTCTGAGCCAGCTCCCTCTGGACTCCAGTCACTCTGGGCAGTTCACGGTTCCCTGAAGCCGGCTTGCTGTTTTACCCTGCTGGGTCGTCACAGATGCTGACCATACTGCAAGGCAAACTCCTAAGCATCCTCCCTCCTCAGCTCTTACATATCTTCTCCATAGCGCTCATCTACACAGAACTTTCCACGATGCGTTGCCATGGATTGCTTATTTAATACCTTGACTAATATTTTTATCCTTGAAGACTAGGATTTTTAAAATTCATCTTATGTTCCAAGTTTGGTACATATAAAGAATTAAAATCATAGTATCAATAAAGGGATCTTGATTCAAGTCTCAGCTCTGTCTCATACTCACCGTGTGGCTCTCGGCAAGTCATTCACGCTGCAGACTGCTCATGTGCAAAGTGGGGAGAACAGCTAGCTAAAAGGTGTGTTTGCAGAGGAGGCTCAGACATGATGCAGGCAAAGCACCTTGCACGCCAGCACGTGCTGGGAGGCCGCAGGAGAGCGGCAGGAGCTCCTCGCACCCCAGAGAGACTAAGGAGCTGGTTCAAGGTCACACTTCAAGGTCACACTAAGAACCCAGGTCTGTGCTCTCTGCAGTAGGCCCTCATTACCTATCCTGATCATCAGAACTCGGATATGGAAATATGGACAGTGAATTAGCAACGGTCTAATTAATTTTTACGGTTGTTAATAGTGTGTACAAAGAAAACAAGACATTTCCCCCTGGAAGAACTTTCTGTACTCTTGCTCTAACCTAGCAGACGACTGCCATTCCATGATGCTCACCTGCATTTTAATCAAGTCTCCACACTCGCCCTGAAAATCTACAGCTGGTCCAAGTGCACCTAGGCCCTTGGTCTGTAAAAGGATGTTTGTTTAAGGAAAGCAGAAGATAATATAAGAAGCAACAAAATAACGGTAACTGTGACCAACTCCGCTGCCCATCCATCCCCCGGCCCCTGCTATTCAGCCACGCCTCCCTCAACAGCATCTTTCCAGGGTCAAAGTCAGCTGTGGGTGTGTTCTAATCTTCCAGGGCCTGTCTAGGTTCTGCCAGAGGGTGCCAACGAACAACAAAATAAACAGAACAAACAAAAAGCATCTGGATTATCCAAAAGTGGAACCCAAACTCCCCAGTCTGCGTTCATCAGTCAAGGCCTCCATGACTTTGGCGTTGGGAGAGGTCAAAGACTCTCTGGGTAGGAGTCATGGAGGCATTGCTCACCAAGGTGCATCCCCAGCACCTGGCTCAGTGCCAGCCCAGTAAAGGTTTGTGGAATGAATGGACGAACACGTGAAAAACGCATGAGTGACCAACTGAATAAACTAAGGGTTATGAGCAGACAGCACAGGTTTATCCTCTTCCAATCCCTCCCGGCCCACCCGCAGGTCCAGGTCACCTGTCCTCTCCTTACCCTAGCGATCAGCTCCCCGACCATTCCCGTCCAGGTGCCGTTGGCCTCGGGAACGCCATACACGCCATCCCCGACCAGGCGGATCTTGTAGTTGAACCGGAGGATCTCGGCCAGCTCCTTGAGCATGTCCACACAGAAGCCCTCGTAGCGGTCATTGCCTTCCATCTCCTGGTGGTTCCCCTTCAGCATTAAGTACGGGTTTTCCTGCAGCAAAACTGGGCAGCTGTCATTCTCATCTTAGCCCTGGCGTCTCGGCCACACGTGATAGGGAGGGCCAGGGTGCAGGGTGGGGAGGAGACGGGGAAGTAGCTTGAGTAATGGGGTCCTCTGGGGGTGCCAACTAGCTCCCTTCTCCTGCCCGGTCCTTACAGCTCCCCTTCAAGGTGCTTCTCTTGTTAGGAACACACAGTGGCTCCCCTGCAGGGAGGCTCAAGCTCAAGGGCCCTCCACCTTGTTCAAGGTCATCATTAGACCCTACCCTCCTTCCCTCTCTCTCTTTTCCCCCTCCATTTCCCTTCCGTTTCTCCAGAACGCTGAGAGAGGGAGGTGCTGTGAAGGGAAGGCACCACGGGCAGGGGAAGCACCATCAAGGCCATGTCCCAAGTAAGAGGAGCGCGGTCTGCTCAGGGCATGTGGGTGCCCTGCTTGGCTGGCACGTGGCTGTGAGGAGAGGTGGGGAGATGTCTGGACGGGCCTCGGATGCCTGAATGAGAACGCACATCACACAGGCTACGATGGGGGAGCACCACAGGCCTTAAAGACGTAAGGATGTGCGGAAAGAATGTCAAATAGAAAGAGAAGGCACACCGAGGGTGAGGACCCCCTGATAAGATGGGATTTAGGACCCTGAGCCGCAGCGTGGCTCCGCTTGGCCTGGGAGAGCTGGAAGGATGTAAGAGTCACAGGAAGGGACAGGCTGGACTGGCTGGGTGTGGGGTAGAGGAAGGGTCCTCGGCGCCGTGGGGCCCAGGTGGCTGACTGAGGATGGTGTCCCCACCGGCCTGCACGTCTGGAAGGGAAAGTGATCTGGAACGTGTTGAATTTCAGCTGCTGGCAGGCGATCCAGGAGGAAGGGACTGACTGGGTGCTTAAAACGTGGAGCGAGGGCAAGACGGGGACGGAGGTGGGAAACCTCTGTCACAGGTGAAGGCTGTATCAGCAGACCATGTGAGACTGCCCAGGGGGAGAACCGAGAGGGAACAAGGGACAGAAGGGCACTGAGAAGGGGTGCCTGGGGCAAACCTGACCGGGGAGGGCGGGAGACAAAGATCAGCCACGGAGGACAAAGCTCCAGCCAGAAAGGCCGAGGAGGGAGGTGTAGGGGGAGAATGTGGCGGTCCCCAGTGTTCCCACACAGACCAAGCGGGGCTGTGACAGGCCCCGGCCACGAGTGCCTAAGCACCTTTCCGAGGCAGGTGCAGTGCAGGTAGCAGGGCCCTGCCTGGATCAGGAGTGGGCAGCCCCCTAGGAGTGCGAGTGGACGGGTATTTGGAGGAGTTAGCGGATGGCGAAGGCAGGGCGGAGCAGCAGGGGGCAGGTGGCTCCTCTGCCCGGACACCGGCAGTCATGCTTCTCCCCTGGGCTCGCAGGATCCCCAAGGGGCCACCGAGTCCTGGAATTCTAATGACTCCTGATGTGGGAGGGTAGCTTGACAGGCAGCAGGGTGGAGGCAGGGTGGAGGCAACGGTGTTTTAGGATGGGACAGACTGGAGTGTATTTGTAGGCAAGAAGGGAAAATCCTGGAAAAGGAGGAGCGCAGAGAAGGAAGGAAGAGCAGCACCACTGGCAGAGCAAGGGCCCGGGAAACCGAGGCTGGAGACAGGGTCGGGCAGGGGAAGGGGAGGGATGGGTGTGGGCATGCATGCAGAAAGCAGGGACCACAAGCCAGCCCCGGGGAGGGGGGAGGCATGCTGACAGTGAGGGCAGGTGGGCTTGGAGGCTTGGTGTGTGTGTGACACCACAGTGAGAGAGAAGATGGCCCAGTTGAAAAGAGGAGGCTGGATGCAGGTGGGCAGCTGGGCGTCGGGGTGACACTCAGGCTTGGGGACAGGTATGAGGGCAGAAGGCTGGGCTTCATGATTCTAGAAGCTGAGAGAGGGACATGCTGAAATGCTGACTGGCTGAGCTCAAGCTGCAAGGGCTGTCTGGGCGGGCAGAAGACAGAGGGCCAGACAGACGGGGGAGAGGGGCGTGATGCAGTGGGAGCGGGAAGGCACAGGCTGCGTGTCAGGGAGTGGAGAGTGCTGCATGAAAAGAGAGGTGGTTCCGATTCATGCTCCAGGCCACCATCATGCCAATCAGATGGGCCAGTCTGCCTGCTTTCCACGCTGGCCGTCCTCAGCGCCAGAGCCTCTCCGTGCCCAAACTCTGCTCCTCCCAGTCTCCTGCCCACTGGCCCACCCTAACTCATCTCTGCCCTTGCAGTCACATTTCCTCCTAGGCCCACCCATGGCCCAGAGTCCCCTCCTCTCATGCCCAGGCCTATGTCATTAGTCATTAACCTCCAGTGTCTTCCTATTTGCACCTGCTCCAGGTAGGCTGCCAGTGGGGCCGGGACTGGCTCTTCACCGTCCTTGCTACTTCTACCTGGCTCCAGCACTAAGCACTTCCTAACTGTGTGAGTAAACACAGAAATGGCTTCATCGACAGGGCATGGCTGGGAGTTTCCAGAAGGGATTGGTAATGTCCCAGGGTGTGTTTAAATTGTCCCAAGGAGAGTGTCACAAAATTCTGCTCTCCAAGTACTCTCTACTCTCAAGTTAATTTAAAATTCACTGCCATATTCAAAGTAAATATACACAGGGCTGATCTTGGAGAAAAGAGGCGTGTTAGAAAGGCCAAGTATCGGAAGGGTTGGGGGTCACCGTCACTTGGGGCATGCGGGGGGCTGAATGGAGGCCTCGAGCAGGAGAACCCGTGGCGATAACGCTGCAAAACGTTTTAACACGAGGGCTGACACAGAAGAGGTGTTCAGGGAATGGGCGCTACAGCTAATTCTGTGTGTTTGCTGGAATTAACCAATAAATCATCCACGTGTCCCAAGTGTACCCTGACAGGAGCGTGAGACAACATGGATATGTGCCGAGTTTTAAGGGATAAATCATTCAGGATTACCATTTGCCAGGAAAGACCCACAAATGGCCACCTGGGGACTCAATTAAGATCAACATTCCTGGTAAGAGCTATTGACTTGGATCAGCCACCTTAGGTGCGTGCGCACACACACACACACACACACACACACACACACACACGCGTGTGTGCGAGAAAAGAACAGACACTAATTGTTATTTGAATTGTACTTACCATGTTATTAAATGCCACCTCACACAAAAGTGTCCTGCCAGCACCCCTACCCCTCATGAGCACGTGCATGTATGTGAACATACACATGTGCACACGTGCGCACACACACTAATCAGAGTGACTTTCCCAGCCTAGGAATATGACCCTGTGGCCTCAGTGTAGCTGTGTGTCTATTCCAAAGCTCCAAGCACAGACTAATTCCGGGCTCTGCGAGGCAGGAGGTACAGTCCAGCCACTTCCTCATCTTCCTCCCGAACTCTCATCGGCTTTTAAGGGACACCTCCTACCCTGTAGGCAGGGATTCCTTTACTTGGATTCTAATTATTGAGCCCCTACTTTGTGTCAGCACCCCATCTCTGAGGAGCTGTCACACCGGAAGGGGAGGCAGAGCCCTAAACACCACGATGCCACATCAGAGTGGTGTGCAAAATGCTAGAGACAGGGAGAGGACAGGAGTTCGAGCAAGGAAGGCTTCATGGAAGAGGTGACATCTGAGCAGAACTTTGAAGGATGCATAGATATTTCCAGATGGAAACGGAACTTGGAGGGAAGGGTAACCCAGGCACAGGGAACAGCAAGTGCAATGATAACTATTCATTGAATGAATGAATGAAAACGTTCAGTGACCCCGTCTCCTACCAAATGAGGGGGAAACTCAACATCCTGGCATTCGAGTTCCTAAGCACTGTGAACTCGACCTGCTTCTCTGACATATGCCTCTCCCCTTCCCCACGGATGCCTATTTCCAGGGAAAACCTGTACATTTCAGCATTTCCTGAACACCTTCTCATGCCCTCCTTCACTCACTTCCCCCTCCCCACTCGCTCCCTGTCCTTCAGAGCCCAGCTAAATGCCCGTTCTTCTCTGAAGGCTTTGCTGACCTCCGCCAGGGCTGGGCCCTCTCTCTCTGACCTCCTCCACAGCTCTAACTGTGCACCTCTTTCCTGCATTTTATCTCCCTCTGCCTGCAGTAAATCAATAATTCCAGCCCAGGGCCCCTGGGCCCCGGGAGTTCATGCAGGTAGTGATGGAGGTCCCTGAGCTCTTTTTATTTATTATTTTCAAAAGCCTCAAAGAAACGGGCACATTTGCAGACCTCGCACAGCTAGCAACGATAAGGCTGAGCAGGCTAACTCGTGCACCGGTTTTGCTTTGGGCTGAAATGATATCAGTGTGGCAACACTGGTTACCTCCTGCTGACAAGACGCTGTGCCAGGCAGGGAAGGACGCTTTTGATTAGTTAAAAGAAGGAAGGGGGGAGGAACAAACTAATTACTGCTTAATACATGCAGTTGGTTTAATTGACAAATCTTTTAAAGCATGAGGTCTTCAGGGGGGGAGACAAATACCTTGCTGTGTGTGCACTTGACTTATCCCATGTACTAAATTATATCCTCTTTGAGGATGCAGACCGAGTCCCACTCATCTTCGGTCTCCAGGACTGAGCATGGTGCCTGGCACGTGGCGGGGGGGTGGGGGGTGGGAGTAGAGGGTGGATTTGGTAATTATTAAATATTGAATCGAATTAAAAGGGCAGATGGCCCCTTGCCCTATAGATTAATCGAGAACTCTCTTTTCACCATCTGGAAATAAAGGAACAGGCCATGTAAACCCACAGATGCTCAGGTGTCCACTTGCGGGCTGTGTGAGGGAGGGCCCCGTGTCATACACGGCAGGCAGCAAACAAGGTGGGCTGCTGGGAAAGGGCAGGGAGCCCCCGGCGGACTGGACCCAGCCCCCGAACCTGGGCTGTGCACAGCCGTCAAGGTGCCCTGAAAGAGGCATCCACAGACGCTGGTGTCTCCCTACCCCACCCCTCTTCCCCAGCTGCTTTGGAACTCATCAAATATCATTTCCATGTGAAACAGCAACTCGAGTGTAATTACACTGTCATAAATTGGCCTCGGCGCTGTGATTAGAGCTCCCATCTTCTGTCACGGGGAAGCCTGAGAGTGCTCAGAGCCGGGGAGGCACCCCAGGGAGCTGCAGCTGCGAGCCCGGGGGACCCTGCTTACCAGGATGGTGGTGACGACCAGGGTGGTGTTGAAGAGGCTGTCGGAGATGTTAGAGGCGTACAGGCGGCTGTCCATGCTGAGGCCCTCTGCCACGTGCCACTGGCCGATCTGCGGACACCAACGGGAGAGGACTGGGAAGAACTGGAGGAAGGAGAAGGCTGGGCAGACCAGGCCCCCGGACCTCCAGGGGTGGAAGGAGCCAGAGGCCAGGCTCTGCCTCTGGTTGGGCTGCACGGGAGCCACGGCAAAAGGGAGGGGTGTGGAGTGTGCAGCGGGGCCTGGACCGGGGCAGAGGACCGTTATACAGGGTTGGGGGCGCTGAGAGAAGACGGGACTAAAGACTTGGGAGAGGTGGGAGAGAAAAATGGAAAAGTAAGTCAGGAATGGAATGAGGTTCAGGGAAGTTTGCTCTCACAGAAGGGAATGAATCATGGAATCGCATGATTTTGAGGCAGGGATGAGGTACAGAGTTATTTTGCTTTGGCCGTCAATCGTTGATTATCTGAATAAGAATCAGAATAGTACAATGGGGAGAACCAGGCTCTTTAATAAATGTTTGCTGAATGGTTAAATGAATGAATAAAGAAGGAAGACCCAGGTCTGAGTCCAGGTTGACTCGCTTGCTAGCTGTGAAAACCTGGGCAAGTTATTTGAATCGTTCAGAACCTCAGTTTCCCCATCTAGAAGTGGGGGTAATGACGTCTGCCCTGCTTCCTTCTAAGAGCTTCTTGTGACCTCAGAGATCATGCATGTGACAGTCTGATGTCACATTATTCACCCAGACCCAGGAGCAGAGATCACAACTCGGAAACCTTAGGAAAGTTCCCGAACCTCTCTGAGCACGATTCCTCATCTGTAAAATGGGGACAATAATGGAAACTTCACTGGGTCACTGTGCGAATGCACTTAACCTGGCACTCAATAAATGTTGTTTTCCTTCCACAGCATCTTTGCCTTTCTGTTGCTTTTTGTTTCCTTTGTCTTATTGTGATAAGAACACTTAATATTAGATGTACTCTTTTGCCAAATTTTTAAGAGTGCAATACATTACTGTTGATTATCCCATTGTCTTAAAGACCTCCACAAACAAAAGCCAAGAACAAACAAACAAAAAACTCTACAACTTCATCAGTTCTCCATTCTAGAAAGTTACCTAAACCTAAACTTAACAGAAGTGGGTTTTTAGATTGTTTGTTTGCTTTTCCTAATGGAACTCTTTTCATAACTAAATTTTTTTAAAAAACCATACAGATACACCCAAACACACACACACACACACACACACACACACATATACATACAATGGCAATATATTTGTCCTAGCTGGAGCCCTTGGCAAATCATGGCTGTTGCTGAGTGTTTTTAGGTGGGCAGCCAGGGGAGACGGCTGACAGCTGGCTGAAAACCCAACGAGATGCACACGGCCACCTCTGCCAGGCATCCCCAGGCAGTGGCAGCGGCTTCCCTGGGAAACCCACACGAGTCCCCTATGAATGCCATGTGGCTCCAATTCCCCATAGCCGGGCTCTGGGTTCTCTTATGGAATCTCCAGAAACAACCAAGACATGTCGCTCCCTCGTCCCCCACCCCACCCCACGTGGCTCACAGCAGCAGGACTGGCCTTACGTATGCTCATATTCCGGCACCTTGCTCTGGGACTAGTACTCAGAGGCAGGGAAAGCCCTCATCTCCTAGGGGCAGATTGCTGTTGTCTGCGAGGCACAGGCAGAAGGCAGAGAGCTCTCCGCTGGCCTCTGTAGCTCCTACTGTCTCCCAGAGGGACCAGCCAGGCCATGTTATTGCCTGCGCTCCCCCTTCCTCCTCCTCTCTCTGCAGGGGGAAGGGGTGAGGAGGATGAGGGTGAGCTGCTGGCTTTCCAAATGAAAGGGGAAGAGTTACTGGGCACCTGCTGTGGTAGATGTATCAGGCTCTGTCCTCTCTTTGAATTCTCCCATCAACACTTTAGAGTAGTTTCAGTGTCTCTATTTTATTTGCAAAGAAACTGAGGCTCAGAGAAGTTTAACAGCTTGCCTAAGGCCACCCGGCTGGGAAGTGCAGTGCAGGTTTGAACTCAGATCTGCTTCCTAATTCTGTGATCCCTCCTTTCTGTGCCTTCCTTTTAGGGCGGGATGCTAATGCGCCCTTCATTTAAGCAGGCCAGGCCAACCAGGGAATGCCTTGGAGGGGCCTCAGCCACCCAGTAGGAACTTCAGACGCATAGCTTTCTTCCCCTTGGTCTTGACACTCTGCAAAGCCAGATGAAATTACTGTCCTCTCAGAGGCTCAGTTCTCAGTTTTCAAAATGGGTAGAATTGGCCCCTGATGCCTCCTAGGCTGGGAAGGACTGTATTTGGACAGAAGAAACATGAAGAGCAATGGGGTGCGATATCAGCATTTGGGCATTTGGGGCAGGACTGAACTTCTTTTGTCACTGTAAACCTCTACTTCACACTAACAGGGCCAGTGAGATCTCGGCACCCCCACCCACTGTCCCTTCTTGCTAGCCACCTGCTCTAAGAAGCCCCAGCCCCAGACTCCCTGGGCTCACCCCAGCCACGAGACAGCTTCCCGCAAAAGCCAGGGATAGAAAAGCTTTACCCAGAGCCAGATCCAACAGCATGAGCAACACACCCTCCCACCCGGCCACCTCTGGGGACATGGCAAAGAGACTAATTAGCCCCCAAGCTCCAGTCAGGAAATGAATCTCCCACCCACCTTCCCATTAGTCCCAAAGAAATTAATAAACTCATCAGATACAACAAAGCGGCTTGGCAGCTATTAACCAGTGCAATCTAATTGCAGAAAGGCAGTGGGAGGGAAAGGAAGAGACGGAGCCAGGTGCCCTGGGATACGCGCTAATTGCCCCACCCACTGGGCACCCTCGATGCCGCACACATGCCAGGGCGAGCAGGAGATACCGTTCTTCCATCGCCGGCAATCTATGGCTCTGCCTTCGGCCAAATCCCCTTGCTCCACCCTGCTGACACCTGCCCCCCAAACCTCCTGTAGGAACAGCTGTTTCGAAAGGCGCGTCCACGTGCCCACATGTGCAGTCTCGATTTAGCCTGGATAATGTCTCTCCGCGGCTATCTCTGGACTCTGTCTCTCCCACTTGCTCTGCCTCTCTACCAGTTTAGAGGCCCCAGGGGGTTGCAGTGAAGAGAGAGGGTATGGATTTGGGCAGTACCGCTGCTAGCCTGCATACAGCATCTTAACGCACATGAGAAAAACGTGCTCCTCTGCACTGACGCCGCCCTGCCAGCTCACGGCCGCGAATGCAAGTTCTGGTTGATTTCAGCCCCGACCCACCCTGGAGCATCACACAACGCAAGGGCCCCAGAGTAGGAGCACTTGGGCTTATCCTGGCTTCCCTTCTATGAGGTATATGATCTCAAGCAAGCCCATGAATCCCTCTGAGCCTCAGTTTCCCCAATCTATAAATTGGGGATTAAAATAGTAATTAGTACCTCATAGGGTTCTTAAGGAGATTTAAATGAGATGGTGTATGTGGGAAGTACTATGTCAGTATTCATTAGTTCTTAAGCAATGCCATTGCCCCAGACAGAGGTGGGATCTCTGCTCTACAAAAGGCTTTGCACTGTGGACTTTATTAAACAGACTGGGTCAATGTTTCAAAGTTTGGTTCCCAGACCAGCAGTCTTAGCATTAGAAATGCAAAGTCTCAGCCTCACCCCAGATGGACTAAATCGGGAACTCCAAGGGCAGGGCAGGCTGGGCAACAGCAGAGCTGCAAGAGTGACCCAGAGGACACACAGGATGACAGGAAGGGATGGGGTGTAGAGACAAATAGTGATTCAGTGACTTCGCACAGTGAGTGAGGAAATGTTTAAAAACTGGCTCTCCGGAAAGAAAAGGCCCTAATTTGTAGTGTTTGCCAATTTCTGTGGCGTAAACACTCCCACCAGGACCGATTCCAAGCTGCCAGCATGACGTCACCGAGCACAGAGCTTAGATGTGTCCCACAGGCTCTGGCCAGCTGGGGCAGAGGCTGGCTCCGGCACACATGCTTGCATGGGCTCTGTGCTGGGCACTAGAAGTTTATGCATATCCAACTCATTGCCACTCCACTTAATTAGTAAGGACAGTAAAGTCCAGATAAGTTAATAATTTATGCAAGTCACAGAGCTGGTAAGTAGAAAAAAGTATTCAAAACAAGGCCAATGTGCCGCTTAATTGGGATCACAATATTTAAAACAAATGTGCAGTCTTTCTAATTATGGTTTCTAATTCTATTAGAAGAGACACTTTGTGATAGAGTGTTTAGTCACATATGAAAATTTAGGTAAATATAAATTGATATAGGATGTGTCTGCCTGTGCACAGAAAATATCATTTACCCAACCTCCCTAAGGGACACAGATCAATATAAATTAATAACAATCTTGGTCCTTTAAGCACTAAAATTCTGGAGATTTTAATTATTTATTCAAAAGCATTATTTCCAAAAATCCTTTCTAAAGGAAGTATATGTTCTTCCATTCTCTTAAACAGAGTGAGCATCTTGACCTTAACATGCAGCGCTAGCATCATGAAGCGGCCGCTATGCTATGCTGTGACACAGTGCTGCCCTACAGGTTACCGAAGTGTGCAGGGCCACTTGCCCGCAGTTCCGAGCTTTTATAAGTTAATCTGTCTCCTTTTCATAGTGTCTGTTTCTTTTCTCACTGCGAGCCATCGCTTTTTGCTCCTACTAGGATGGCTGTCTCTGAGCCTCTGTCCCTCTGGGAGCTGGGTTCAAGACCCCTGGGTGGAGGAGCCAGGCACCAAGCTTGGAAGAATTGCTTGTAAGGAAAGCGTGGACAAGGGGGCTGATAGGGCCCGGGGGCTGTGGTGACTGAGCTCCGTGGCATCAATAGGGGCTGCCCACCTTTGGAAAGGCGATGACTGTACAACGGAACGAGTGTCAGAGACCTGGATTTGGTCTGCCATGGGACCCCAGGTCAGCAAGCTGGTCACTCCCCTAGCAACGCACCACAAAAGTGCCACAGGGGTCCTCGGCTGCTCCCTGCCAGGGCTGGCACAGTGTCACCTGGTGTCTGACCTGTCTTGGCACCTGGGACTCTCTGTGAATTTCCTCCGGCCTCAGC